TTTTTTTTTTTAGAGGGGAGGAGTTAATAAGGAGAGAAATTTGCCAGTGCCTTTAAAACATTTAAAAAGACAGAAAATTTAGAAAGACCTCTATTCCATTGGTTTGCTAAGATTAATTATCTAACGTGTGGTCCTTTTAAACATTTAGTTTTCAATTCTCAAGTGTATCATTAGACATTAGTTAGCCCAGTTTAACTTTATTTTGCATATCAGCATATTGGTCGTCATTCTTACTACTGACAAAATAGACCTTGAAAAAAGATTAATGATTGGAGAGAAAGGAATGCAAGTTCGTAAGTCTTCCAGATCCCGCAACCACGCAGCTGAGGCTAAGGAATTGTTAACACAGTCAACTAACGAGGAATTAGGATTTAACGCTTCCGAAAGGAAGTTAAAAAAGAGAAAAACGAATGTTACTAAAAATGAAGTAGAACATTCAGACAGGATAGACCCGGTGGAAAAACTTCTCAGTTTGAACAATCCGAACACTGAAATATTAATGAACTTTGATGAGGAAGTTGGCTTTGATTCGCAGAGAGAGATACCGACAGGTGCTCAATCAGATGGCCATCTGATCTCATTGAATTTCACCAAAGTACTCAACGACAATTTGAGATCTTATTATTCAAATTTTAGGCGTAGCCCTATAGAGGTTTACAACGATAACTCATCATTTTCTGTTCTCAACCATAGGTTGCCAGTTGATCAAGAAAAATTAGAAGATAGAGGAAAACAGTATAAAACAAAAGACCAGTGCCTTCAAACACCAGAAGTTCCATTCTTCAAAAATGTGAATTTTAATCCCAAACAACTGTCTTACACTTTAGATCAATACTTTTCATACGACGAATTGACATCTGATAACGAGGAAGCTGGAAAAGAAAGCTCCGAGTCCCCTGATCCCAAAACACCAACTTCATTAACTAGTAATGACTTCGCACCTAAAATGAGCTTTCACTATAGACATAACAACAACCTAAATTTATCCTTGAACAAAGCTGCGAATGAACAACCTTTGGATGTATTTAAGATCTTAAACCAAAGATCTGTTTTGAGCGGAAGAGCCAGTGAAATGATTAGTACTGGCAACTTCCTAATTAATGATTTTTTCTTATGAATTACACAATTATCTTGCGATATTGTAACTTCTATGTGTGTTAGTATATAGTATGAATATCACATTTGCTTACAACACGAACGGCCGTAATTCGCGATTTATGTTCTGTAAATCCCGGAGATCACATGATAGTCACATCTGAAGCTTGCTAACGTTTATAACTATATCAGCTATTAATATTCACCAATTTCAATTTCCCACAAATATGGGATTGTTTGACTTGTTTGTTGCATATTTAGTGGGTGGAATTACTTTTATACCTCTCATAGTCATTTTGTTTATATACTTGCATCCAAAAAAAAACAAATCCTTCAGATCAGTACTGTCAGCGCTTAAGGCTGGAGAAATTGAAGAGAGCAAAGAAACTGGGCTCGATGCTTACAAGTCAGGTTGGATAACTGTTACACAGGGGTATCTAGAATCTCCAGATGACATAAGTTCTTCTGTTCAATCGATAAGTGAGTCAGCAGATAACAAAACTGCCTACGCATCTTTGTATAAGTTGGCGCAGAAAGATATTACAAGTACAGAAGGGCCGGAAAGTGTGCTTAACCCACCCGCAGATATTAATAAAGTTACTAGTAAAAGCCACGCAAGCGAGAAGGTGAACCGTTCCCAAAAAAAGCACAGATTTTATGGAATTTTGAAACATGGAAATCTATTTTTGTACAAAGATGAAGAATTGAAAGATGTTCGTCACGTTATAGTTTTGTCAAATCAGATCGTTACAATTTGGCCTAGAGATGTTCTCGACAGTGAGCTCTTTGCTAAGAGGAGCTCTATTTGTATCATGAAAAAGGATTGGTCAAGGTCAAGAAGACTATCAGATTCATTTGATAAAGATAAAATAACTACGTCAGATATCTTAAGTAATGACAATAATTTCAATCCTCCTAAAGGTTCGTTTTTTATTTATTGTGATTCTAATATTGATAAAGAAGACTGGTATTTCTCTTTGATTAGGGCTACCAAACTTGAAGATGTCAACAATAATCTTAACCCAGCAATTTACGCGGAGACTTTACATTTTGAGACTCACAACATGATTAACTTGATTCAAAATTTGTATAGTTCTGAAGCGCAATTGGAAACAAAATGGTTCAATGCCTTGGTTGGGAGACTTTTTTTATCTTTGCAGAAAACTGAAGTTTTACAAAAATTCTTGAAATCGAAGCTAGAGAAAAAGCTCACTAAGATCAAACGACCAGGTTACTTGAATAGATTTCAAATAGGTGAGATATCTCCTGGTAATTCAGCTCCCTTATTAACATTTCCAACTCTAAAGGAAATTAGCCCAGACGGCACAATTGTTGTTTCAGCTTGTATTCAGTATCTGGGCTGTTTCTCTACTCAAGTATTAACTAAAGCAAACATCAATTTGGGGTCAAGGTTCAAACCTAGAGAAGTAGATTTGCTTTTGAGTATATGTTTGGAAAAGCTAGAGGGATCCATAATTATCAAAATAAAACCACCTCCATCTGATCGTTTGTGGTATTCATTCGAAAGCGAGCCGAATATGCGTTTAAACATTGAGCCAGTGATCAGCTCCAGGCAGTTCGCCTATAACATAATAACTAACCTGATCGAAAAGAAATTGAAGGATGCTATAAAAGAAAGTCTAGTTTTGCCTCATTGGGATGATGTGACCTTTTATGATACCACAGGAGAGATATATAGGGGAGGCATCTGGGATAAATCAGTTAGACCTGAGAACAAGAGTGAAGAAATCGTTGAAAATATTGAACAATCCGAATCTGCTATCCATGATAACAGTGACGATTTAGACTTTAAAACCCAAATTTCATACAACAAGTGGACAAACAATCCCAAAAGTAAGATATCTACTACATTGACTGATATATCAAGAAAAATTAAGAAAACTAAATCAGCTCATACTTTAGGTATAAGCGAAGAGAATTGTTTATCCGATGGCTCTTTGATTGATTCACGATCCAAAAACGATCAAGATTCACTTTCCAGCGATTCAAGTATAGGAAAAAGATCTACAATGAATACACTCAGAAAGATTGGAAAATGGTATTTCAGGGACGAGCGACTGAAAACTTCGCTGAGCGAAAATTATAGTCCACCAGAAATGATACTGAATCGACGAAGTCCCAGAAAATCCAATGCGGACCTGACAAAGCCCCCATCTGTTGAAACGACTCCAACTCAACCTTCCTACGATTTTATCAAATATCATGAGACTTCCATTTCTTCTGATCCCAACGGCAACAAAATGTTTCAGAAACAGATCAACAATTCAGTATCTCCCAAGCCACCAACACCGTTACCACCAAGGGATGATATCTCTTTTGATACAACTGCATCTGATAAAATGAGTGAACAACTCGACTTAATTGGAAGTTTCGAAGAAAATAAAATCAGCGAACAAGATTCAGCAAGCTTTAATTCTCAGGAAGATCCCTCAACTAACACCACTGATGTTCTCGAAAGAAGCCCCAGTTTAATATCAAACAGAGAGAGCTTTAGAAATGGACAGCTAACCAGAAAGCCCCCTCCGGGGAGCCCACCTGAGCTTCTTCCGAGAAGTCCACCTGAACTTCCTCCTAGAAAATTTGAAACTACCGACTTACATGAAGGTCTATGAAAGGGGTATGAAAGGTGCTCTTAATTAGATATTATATACAGTACTTAATGCAAATCAAATATATGGGGCCCATCCACCATACATTTGGCATAAATTTTCCACGGAAGCCGCTTCTTGTATTAATATGTCAACTTGCCCGTTAATATTCATCGGTAGCTCCTCTTTTTCACTTATCAAACCACGGATTTTTCTACGAACCTTTCTCAAATGCTCTTGTGGGTTTTGATGTGTTTTCCAATCCAATAAGGGATCGTATAATAGAGTTTCTAAAATGTTCATCAATGGCGCTTCATTATCTCTTAGCAATTGTCCGGTTACCTCACAGCTGATCCTAAATGTTCCTTCGATACCCGTTATTCCCATTGCGTCCACCATGTTTTGGGTCAATCTAAATGGAACAATTTCAGGAGTTGGTAGGGTCCTTCCCTTTTCGAAGAGACAATCGAAATCTATATGCAAAACTAAGCCATTCTTCTTTAGAAACAAAATATTTTCACAATGTCGGTCACCTAACCCAACTATATATCCGACTATTGACATCACAGCTGAGGATCTGGTAAATGAATTACGCGCAAGATACCAAACTGTGGGATCAGGAAACTGCTTAATATACCAACTGTGTAACACAGGAGGATTATTACGACAAACATTTGAGAATAGTTCAACTAAATCTTTCATAAAATCATGGTTCGAGGATCCTTTTTTATTTTTAAGAGTTTTTTGAGCTTCGTCAAGTTTGATAAATAACTTTCGTTCATTTACCACCTTTCCCATTGCCTTTCTTTGTTCTCCAACTACACTTTTCATAGTTGCAACATCTGGAACGAATTCAATAACACCCATATTTTCTGCCAAAGGGATTACTGAATAATTTGCGATGAATAAGTTCCTTTTTCTTGCCTCATTGCTAGCTGTGAGCAATCTATTTATCATCGTGGTGAACTCAACCACTTTGGCATCTTTCCTGGTATCATCTTTTTTGATCATTAGTCTATAAGGTCGCAAATCTGAGCCACGAATGGTCACTTGTCTAGGCATTTGTAGGGAATGAAATATATTGACATTATCATCAAAGCCATCAAATGTAATGGAAGCGGATTTAGGAAATGCTGAAAATTTAGATGTTGTTGAGGCAGGCAATCTTATTTCTAAATTTGAGCGAACTGGAATAACTAGTGAATCATAAGGGTTTGTAAGGAGAGACAACCCAAAGTCACCCACTAATGACATCCTTCGGACAGATTTTTTTTGAATTTTAAAATTTGCTATTTTTATAAAGTTTTGGAATAAGTCCGAAGCATTTGAAAATTTTGAATTGAATTGAGAATCACTTGTCAGCAAAGTTTTTAGAATACTCTTAGCCCTCTCTCTTCTAAGATTATCATTAGAATTCAAATGTGAGAGCACATACCACAAACTGTGCTTAGGATATGATTTTATGATTTTTGAAATTACCAAACTTAGAAGCCTCGCAGAAGGCTCATGTGAATGTACAATCCTAGATAGTATTTGTGTTATTGACGTGTACCAAACATAAACTTGTATATTGTCAACGTATTTTTCCACATCAATAATAATTTGATTCAATCTTCTCTCTGCTTCCTTTGTGTGGCCCTTTTTCTGAGCAAAATCGAGCCATATAGTAATGAGCTTTGGAAGAGCTTCAAATATGAAAGAGTTGCCGAGTGCCAAGGCTTTTAAAAAGTGCCTGATAATTTGGTGCTCATAGTAGCCTGAATTATCATGCTTTGATTCCATAACTTTATTGTAAAACTTGCCTAGGTCATAATAGGGCTTCTCCCATGAGCTTTCAATCTTAAACGCCTTAGAATATTCACTTATAATAGTTGATGAGGAGCTATGGTTTGATTCATCCAACCAAACTGCGTATTGTAATTGTACTTTAGATTTTTGTCTATTATCCTTGAAATCATCATCGTTTAAAATCTCTGAAAGAGATTTGATTGCTTCAGTTTGTTTTCCTTGAGCCCACAAAAGCTCGGTATATTCTATATTTGCTTCTTGGTCATCAAGAGACATTGCCTTCATTATAGAGCGAGTAGAAATGTCCAATCTGTTATTTTCTCTCGCTATTGATGAGCTATGCAACAAGATATCAGCTATCTTTCTTTCATTCATTATTATTGTATTTGCTACCCTATGCATTGCCAATACGTTCCATTGAGTATAAAAACTTTGATCAATATTGCCAATCCTCGCAGCTAAAATAGCCTCATTCTTCCTCTTTGCGACTTCGTTTTTATCAAAATATGGCTGAAGTATCAAATTTAAATCATAGAGAGCATGCAATTGATTCATCAAGAATGTATTTCTCGAAAAGCTCGAAGATATGGGCGGTACCAACGCAGCTCCAATGATGTCATAAATCTTTTGTACGCAATGATTGAATCCATCACCGTCGTTTGAAAAGGCATGTTTGAGCCCAACAGCTAATTCATAATTTATTGAAGTCTCCACATCCAGTGGCTGGCCAATTGAATCAATAACAAACAACCATTTCTTCATTTGAGATAAGTCTGCAGAAACAATAGATGCCAGTAAACCAACTATTGACCACTCTAGTGGAATTGACTCTATATCATCAAAATCGACTTTCGAAGTCAAAGTCGAAAGAACCTCATTATAGAGACCACAATCGCTCAATGACTTCAAATATTTAGTATTAAAGTTTATTTTGTCTTTCTCGCTACCTGATTCGCCTAGAACTTGAAAAGATTCCTGTGCCAAGGACCAATTTTCGTTATACTGGAAAGTTACCAACTTTTCCGTTAAATTGTTGGTAGAGAAACTCTTTAAAATACCATTGAGTGCATCGAAATCATTTATATTTGAATACATCGACTGCAATGTGGTGATAACGTTGATATTATCAATGTTATGAAATTCGTCCGCTCTACCATCTCTGAAGCACTTTTCCAAATAGAAAATAGTCCTCTCGTATGAGTCACATTCAGCCGATTTGATCGCAATTAGATCCATAGGGATACTTTGCAAAAAGTTATTGCAAAAATCAATATTCTTTCTGACTTTAAGATTATCGGATTTTGACATATGATGATCATTTAAATATTGATTTGCAGCTGAAATCCACTCGTTAATATAGTCAAGAACTTCAAAAATAGATTGATAACATGCCTTTAACAGTTCTACCCTGTCTGGCAAAGACTTGGAAGCACGAATATGCAAAATCGTCAAAAACTCCTTCTTGATATCATTGCAGACATCCTCACTTCCATTACTAATGTGACTCAAACAAATGTATTTTAAAAGATATTGGCAAAGAGTGATATCTTGATCTCGTATCAACATCGCGCATGTGCGTAAAATAACCTCCTTCGTGTTATCTTCGCTTTTGTTATTCACTACGCTTGCCAAAGGTCTCTTAAGCAAGTTCGAAGTAAAATAAGTTAGCCATCTCTCATATTTCATGGTAACTTTATAAAAAGGAAATTCCATGGGTTCGTACCTTGAAAGTGGGGACACGTATTTGGATGATAATAAAGGTGTCAAGGTGGATTTTGCAATATCACTGAACTTACTCCATGTTTCTCTCGCAAAATTTTCGCTGTGCTCCTCACTCACCTTAGAATCAAGACCCAAAACTTGCAAAAAGGTTTGCATTGCGTAAGCCGAAAATAATTGCTTAACAGGGTCATTGGATGCCCAAAAGATATTCAAAATTTTAGTCTCTATGAAATCTATCAAAAATTCTGCATTTTCTTTACGATCGTAAAAATCGTGAATTATAATTATTCTCTTTTTCATAGTCTTGAAATTGAACTTATTTGAATCTAGAGATCCAAGGATTGATAAAACTTTAGCAGAGCTCGTTGCAATTTTCCGGTTGCTATTCTTAAACTTGGATGAAGTTTCCAAAAGAGCCCGAATTAATTCACTAATGTGATCAGAGATGAGTGCATCTTTGAAAAAATCTTTTTGGCAGTTCAATTGATAGAGAGTAGTGAAGTGGTGCAAATCATCAAGCGCCTGTTGTACAACGTATCTGTTATTCGTATTTAATCTTCTGGTATATTCCTGAAAGTACTTGGATTTTGAAATGGGTTTCATTAACTTGAAAGTGTTAATAGGTTTGTAATCTTGAATTTGATCTATGAAAGGGATCGATAGATAATACAACGAATATGTGTTATATCTTCCATTTATCTCATTGAAAATCTTCCTCAATATTTCAATTGCAATCTCTTTCGTTCTGTTTTCGAAATATTTAAATCTTTGAAATATCATGGAGACAATTATGTCTAATAATGATATTAAATGTTCAGATGGGAGATTTTGAATTAACGAGTTCCAGCACTTTATCGCTAATAACTCAAATTCTGGGTTCACAAGGGATGCTTGCAAACATGTAGATATTTGTCCCAATGCGGTGGTAACTGCTTTAATATGCTTTTCTATTAAAAACGTTATAGCTCTCAATGAACTCACTTTTTCCAAGTATGGTCTGGTTCCCTTTATGTGATGAACATTCTCACTAAATCTCTGGACTAATTCCAAAACATGCTCCTCAAGTAAATATTTGACATAGTCGTCCCTTGACATTCTCAGTTTTCCAGCCTCTTGCTGCTTCATGTTTATTTTCGCGACATACGCTAATGCGTTCATGATTCTAGCTTCATTTAAAATAAGACCGTTTTCATTGACTTGAATCTGTAAGATAATGAACCATGTGATCTCACCTACACTTGAAATAATATCATTCATAGTCACTGATTTGAATTCCGGGCTGGCATTACCTAGAACATTCAATATATAATCTTCCCTAATCTGATCATCTTTTACCAAATATGTGGCAACTATACGTGGCAAACTTTTGGCTATCAACTTCCACTTGGAAACATTGAACGAATCAGCAATTTCTTGTATGAAGTCATGTTTGTAGTATTCGAGAAACCTGGGCGTCGTATACTCTCTGGTTCTATAAAGAAAATACTTTTTAGTGACACCCAATAGTTCTGTAATCTTACTGAGCATCCTAGGTTTTTTTATAATTCTTTCGGCAATACTGGGTAAATAAGGAGAAAGTAACTTGTATGGGGTTAATGATTTTGCCGCTGCAATGTGTAAAAATGCATTGAATACGTAATTAACATGCTGATCATTACTTTCACCAAATAAATCCGCTAATTTAATTATCAAAACACATAACCATTCTCCATTTGCAATGATTGAAATTTCCACTAAACACTTTATTGTCGACTCTGCAAACTGCTTCCTATTTTCAGTAGAAAAATCAATACAATTGATGTTCTGAAAAATAAATTTGAAATTATTCTCTCTTAGTTTATCATCACTTTGTATTAAATATAAAGGCAAAATTCTGGAGCATAGTAGTCTCACGTCTCTATTTTTGTTGTTTGCTAACTGATCAAAAATAAACAAAAATATCGGCTCACTTTCTAGAGTTCTCATCGGCGGACTATAACTTGCAAATAACTTAAAAATGGACAATAACAAGTTACAGCAGAGAATCGGATCATTCGTGATAGCTTCTTGCCTTACGCCTAAAAAAAAGTTGCATATGATTTCTTTATAGTAGCATGACGTTAAGTGAGAATCCAAAACCAGTTTTCTATCGGATGCGATACTTTCATAGAAATTTTTAGCCATAGGACAATTACCACATCGTAAGCACTCTCCAGTCTCCAAATCAAAATCTTTATTCAATAGGCATGGAAAGGTACCCAAAGAAGATATCAAAGTATATAGAGAACATCTCTTTAATAGTACCTGCCCTTTCGCATCCTTTTCTGTGATCTTTTCAACGTTAGAGAGCCAACCAGAAAAATCAAAATTCAGACCCGCATTTCGAGGTGACGATTTTTCACTATTAATGAATTCCAAAAGACTCGAAACTTGATCAATTTCGCTTTTATGAAGTATGTCAAGGAGTTCTAACCTTAAGAATTCAAGATCTGAATCCTCAAACGGAGTAACTATTAAGGGGTTCAAGTTTGACGATTGAAGGTTCCCGATCTCCACTTTTATTTTCAAACTCAATTGATACGTATAGTTGATCAAATGCATTGTTTTGAGTATGTTATGGGGCAAAAATCTTGATGAAATACCAAATAATTGAGAGAATTTTATGCCATTGATAAAGTTATCCAACGTTTCCCTCTTTAGACAAAGCTTTAATAAACTGAGTAAAGAATGACAAATACAATTTATTAAATTAACGCTGTTATTTTTGATATTCCAAGTTTTTATATGATCATTTAGCCAATCCAAAATCAACGCAATCTGAGTCCAACTTGCTGTATAATTTACACACACATAGTTGGTTGAACTCAAAATCAAAATAGATTTGAGATTGCTAGCTATTGTGAGATCCATTTCAGATAATGGATCATTCAACAAAAACCACAACTTTCTTGCGTAACTTTCGATTTTTACTTGATAGCCAAATAAATGCAACTTGAGCGATAAGTCGTAGTCATTCAAAATCGAGTACAAATGCACATTAGCAAACAATTTGCTCGAAGATTTCTTATTTGAACGTCCTAAGTTATCAAATAGATACTTTAAATTGTTATCAGAGAATTCTAACAAACTTTGTCGAATAATATTGATATATCTCATTTCATTTAATTTTGATGTAACAAGCTTTATGACATTTATAATGAAGCATTTTAAATCATTGAGAACCGAGTTGTTGAGTGAAGGGTTTGAAAGATGCTCCAAAAAGAGCGAAAAAAACCACTCATAGAGCATCATTTCTTCGCTCCCCAAATTGGGTGGAACATGAACGTTCTTCACATCTTCCTTGTTAATCATGCTATTCAACAAAAACTTTTTCCTATCCACAACTAGCTCTATTACCTCAAAAAGATCATCTAAATACTCATAATCATTATTTTTCAATTTGTGGTTGGTAAAACTGAATAAATATAGAATTAACCTTTTGAAATCAGTGCTGTCATCAGAATCAATATTCTTTCGCACATCATCTAGAAAAACCTTTAGCTCCTCAGAAGTGATTAATTGTATCGACATTTACATGCTATGTCTGACCTTTCTTAGAGGTTTCACCTCTTCAAATATTGAACTTGATGATCTTTTTTGTTTGGTATTAGAATTGGGCACGCGTATCCTTATACATCACAAAAAAAAAAAAGAGAGAAAGGCAATTTCGCCCCATGTTGTGTGTCATTCACTAAGACAAATATAACGAATGAAGGATGCAGAGTTGCAGCCTTATCTACTAATACTTTGAAATCATTCGGAACATCAATGACCTATTTTTACTTTATTAAACTTTAAGCCCGTGTTATCTCGTTACATTTACTCATCGTTACCTACACATATTCTCTGTAATGAATTATCTTATATTAATGTCTACTATGCAATTCCAAATTTTCCTAAAAGAGTTAACCCAAAAAGTCCCCGTCATCTTCCAGCCCTCTTTACTGGCTGTTGTTAATTGGCCTCTTAAATAATAATATATGAGGCTCGGGAGCATGAGTCTCGTAATGTATCCATCCCAACGACTGGGTTATCCCTAGCCCTCTCCATTCCTCTTCTAAAAGTATTCTCAATGTACCTGTTTCCGGGTTAAAGTAGTCTTGGGGAATCGCCTTAAGCATATTCTTTGGTAACATAACGTGCCTGTATTCATGTGTATCATCACTATACCTTGGACTATAGTGAATCATATCTTGAAATTCTAAAATCTTAGCTCGTTCTGCATCTGTTAAATACCTTGGTTTGGTCATATTTAGTGATTAACAATTTGTTTTAACGTTTAATTGAATCTATTAACTATGTGGACTTCTCACCGTCGTCCTTCAAAAAAAATTAAAATTTTTATTCAAATATCCGCGTCTGATACTCTAGCTTGAATATGACTTCATCAATTTGATGAAGCAATTGCAAATAAATATAACGTTATAGTAAGGTTTAAGGCGTCAATGCCAATAAGTGAGGTACACGAAGAAAATGCACTCTTGATTGGTGTAGAGTTTTTTTTTGGCAGTTGCGTTTACATGATTATACTAATTTAAAGTTCGGATTAGGTTGATTAATGCATGCACGGAAATCGAGCACTGGATGTAGTAAGACCCTAGACAGCTCGTAGACAGCTTTATGTGCTGTTCATAGACATTCGATCAACCGTTCAACCTGTCACATAAAGTAATTTTTAGTTTGCTTCATGAATACTGATGTTGAGCCGACATGCTTGATTACAGTGGAACAGAGAGATCTGCGTTCAACGGAAACACGATCATTACTCGCTAGCTTATATTTCTCATTATTTGACGAAACACTTTCGCCTCTAATCTACTCGAAACGGTTAGTCGTCTAGCTCTCGTCTAAATGTCGTTATTGTGATTCTTTTTTCTCCGATAGGTGTCATACGACTCGAAGCTATTTTTATGTCTAGACGCCTTCTCACTATCATGTGACCCATATCTAGTAGGAGATTCATCTCTAGAGCTACGACTGTTGTGGTGGCTCCGATGATATCTTTCGTCACGATGCAGCCTATGAGAATGAGATCGTTTTCGGTTGTTTTCACCTTCTCTTCTTTTCCTTTGTCTCTTTTTTTTCATTTGTTCATTTTCGATAATGGTTAAAGGATCATCGAGATCAACTTTAGAAGAAGGAACAACAGTGCCAGCAGCAATAATTTTATTTAATTTACCTTCTCCCTTCATTCGAAGAGCATTGCTGTTATGCAACATTTGCTCAACTTGGGTCTTTCCTAGTAGAAATTCATCCCTCATTTCATTGAAGCCTGCTTCATCCTTTTTGCTAGGTTCATCATACATCCAGTCTAGTTTATTCAACTTCAATTTTTGATCCGAGGGGAGGTTTTCTAAATCATCTCCGTATTGCATTTTCATGAGCTGCAACTTTTCTTTTTCGTCCTGAATCTCTTTATTCTTTTCCTTAATCTTTTTCAATTCTGCAAGTTTATTTTGTTCTTCTTCCCACACCTTCTGCTGATTTTTCATCAACCCTGGATGCCAGGACTTCTTGAGATTTAAATTTCCTGGCATCTTAATGAGCTACTTTGATCAAAACCTGTTTGCTTGTATAAAATTGAAAACAAATTAGTTATTTAATGTGACGTAGAGATGAGGCAACATAATTTATATTTTAGAAATTCCGCAATATGAGTAGTCGCTCTAAATCGTCATCTGATTGATTAAGTATATTGAATAGTGCAATACATCTATCAGAGATTGAACTCAGATAGCTACATCGTATCTATTTAAGGGCTACTCTAATATAAGAAACAGATTCAAACGGTCTCAACCAAGGCAAATCTTGCAGTGGCGTGACAATAAGCATAATCTGTGAAAAATCCCACAAGCATCTTAAAAACCGTGAATCTTGATATTCTTCTTAGGCAACTGCAACTGACTGGTTAAGAATTCACTAACCTTGACCCTTTGGTCACCTTGCATTTGAATAACCTCTCCTAACTCGTCATCTTTGACGATGTTACCGTTGCAAGCAAAATCTTTCTTTAAAACTTTCAAAATTTTCTTCAAGTCATATTCTTGTGGTAATCCTTGGACTGTAGTTAAAGTCTTTCTACCGTTACGTTGCTGAATACGAATATGAATATAATTTGTAGGTTGAGCTTCTGAATCACCAGTGTCGGCGAAAGGATCT